ATGGATATATGTTACAGCAGTACTAGTAGAAGTAATGCTGTTTTTCTTCAACTTTTTGGCTGGCTGTTCAAATTCATTGCTGTCTTCGTGGGCCTCAATCAGTGAGTCTGGATCCTGCTCAAAAGTAACAGGATGTGTATCACAAACATCTTTTTGAGTAATCTGTGTATTATGATGTTGTGTAAAAGACGTTTTCAGGCAGTCACCATAGTATTCATCCCATTCCTGCTTTGGGAATATAGATGCGTCGCCACAGGGAGTGTGACTAACATAAAAGTGAAAGGTCACTCCTTCCCTAATAACATACTTCCCTTTTTCCTCTTGGAACAGGCTCTCTTGGCCTTTCACTGCTCTATCAACCTGTTCTATAAGATAGAGTACAAAAGCTCTCCTGGCCACTACCTCTGCATGACTGTCATGAAGGATGTCTCCTGCTCCCGACAGTTGTGAAGCTCCAATGCATTTTGAACCTGTTCCTAAAGACACAACATGCATATTGCCTTTTTCCAGCTGCAAGATGCAAGCCAGCAAGGTCCACTCTGTGTGTTCCTTTGGCTTTCCTGTCTTTCCTAAACTCATAAATTTGGAATTGCTGAGTTGTGCAACTCGATCGGCAAACTCTTCATTGTATGTATCAGTCATCTTGAACAATATTTCAAATCCAATGTATATAAACAATCTAATAAAAAAAATTAAAATAAAACAAAGCATCAAAGAACATGAAGTCAATCTTTCTTCTGGAACTCCACCACATCCACACCTGTTATCTTTATTGACTCAATCTACCATTTAGTGCAAAAGCTGATCAGAATAATCATCATTCATTTCAGAATCATCATCTTCTTCTTCATCATCATCATTATCATCATCATCGTATTCATCGTCATTGTCATCTTCTTCATCTTCACTGTACTGTTCCGTGGCACTCTTCCCTATGGGCACTATATCACTCCCTTTCTGCTGGATGGCCAACATCTGCTCTTGGTACACCTGCTCCTGATCCTGGCCAGAGAAATTGGGGAGAAAGATTAACACGAGTTTCTTTTTTTATTTTCCTGTGAGAAAATAGTATAGGAGGAGGAAGAGGAGGAGGAGGAGGAGGAGGAGGAGGAGGAGGAGGAGGAGGAGGAGGAGGAGGAGAGGAGGAGGAGCGAGAGGAGGAGGTGGAGGTAGAGGAGGAGGAGGAGGTGGAGGAGGAGGAGGAGGAGGAGGAGGAGGAGGAGGAGGAGGAGGGGAGGAGGAGGGAGGAGGAGAGGAGGAGAGAGGAGGAGGAGGTGGGGGGGGGGAGGTGGGAGGTGGAGGAGGTGGAGGAGGGGAGGAGGAGGAGGAGAGGAGGAGGAGGAGGGAGGAGGAGGAGGGGAGGAGGAGGAGGAGGAGGAGGAGGAAGGAGGAGGAGGAGGAGGAGAGGCAGGAGGAGAGAGGAGAGGAGGAGGAGGAGGAGGGGAGGAGGCAGGAGGAGGAGAGGAGGGAGGAGGAGGAGGGAGAGGAGGAGGAGGAGGAGGAGGGAGGAGGGGGAGGAGGAGGAGGAGGGAGGGGAGGGGAGGAGGAGGAGGAGGAGGAGGAGGAGGAGGAGGAGGAGGGGTGGGAGGAGGGGAGGGGGAGGAGAAGGAGAGGAGGAGGAGGTGGAGGAGAGGAAGAGGGGAAGTGGAGAGGGAGAAGGTGGAGGAGGGAGGAGGTGGAGGAGGGAGAGGTGGAGAGGGAGGAGAGAGGGAGGAGGTGGAGGAGAGGAGGAGGTGGAGGAGGGAGGAGGAGAGGGGGAGGTGGAGGAGGCAGAGGAGGTGGAAGAGGAGGAGGAGGAGGAGGAGGAGGAGGAGGAGGAGGAGGAGGAGGAGGAGGAGAGAGGAGGAGAGAGGGAGGAGAAGAGGAGAGGAGAGGAGGAAGAGGAGGAGAGAGGAGGAGGAGGAGAGGAGGAGGAAGAGGAGGAGAGGAGGAAAGGAGGAGGAGAGAGGGGGGAGAGGGGAGGGGGGGAGAAAGTGGAGGGGGAAGGGGAGAAGGAGGAGAAAGCAAAAGGGGTAGAGGAGGAGGAGGAGGTAGAGGAAAAAGAGTAGGAGGGGGAAGGGAAAGGGGTAGGGAGGGAAAAAGGCAATGGGGAGGAGGAAGGGTAGGAAAGGGAGAAGGGCGAAGGGGAGGAGAAGGAAGGGTAGGAGTACAGACGAAAAATGGTCTTGGAAGAAAGCAAGGAGGAAAAAAGGGGAGTGACAGGCAGGAGAAAGGGTGGGGTTGGGGGGGGGATTGATGGCCAAGGTATGAGTGGAGGCAAAATTTCATCTAAAATGCTCAGACACCAAGGCCTTTCTTCAGAGAACCATTAGCTATCCAACCATTAGGCCTTCGAGAAAGAAAAAAAAAAAAAAGCAAGAAAGAAAGAAAGAAAGAAAGAAAAAAAAAAAACAGATTCCAGTGACAGCATTCTTACCTTCAGTTCCTGAGCTAGATCAACTGGCTTGTCCACCTGGAACCAAGCTGGGTCAACAAGCCTAGGAGTCAGTGTTGGGAACAGAGGGGGCTGAGCCATAGTGCCAGCACAGTAGGAAGGTCTCCCTTTTGGTTCTGTTTTTTCAATGGATAGCGGAAGGATCCCAGGCGTATTTCTGGCTTATACCGAGACCAGAAAGCTCTGCAATATCCTCTGCTGTGAGATCGAAGTCCAGTTGGATATTCTCTGTTATGTGGCTGGTGTTGGTAGATTTGGGTAACACACCTGTGGTGGAAATTTATTGCTAACAAATTGCCCAATTACCTCTGACAAACACTTTCTTTTACAACAAGCATAAATACTTCAGCTCATAGAGATAACACACCTTCTTTTCAAATAACCTGTTCTATATATTCACAATACAACAAAATCACAGAAGCCACTCACTGACACCCTGCTGGGTAGCCCAACGCAACAGGACTTGGGCAGGAGATCGAGACAACCTGCTTGCTATACAGAGCACCTTGGAATCCTGCAGGAGCGGGCTCACCTCTACAGTTGTCCCTAGGGAGGAGTAAGCCTGCAGGTGAATGCCCTTCAGATCACAAAACTTTTTCAGGTCCTTCTGAAGGTAATGTGGATGATATTCAACCTATAAGGAAAAAAACACATGGACTTAATCAATAATGGAATATCTTTGTAAAAACATATGTATATATGTATATGTATACATATGTATATATGTATATATATATATATATATATATATATGTATAATAAGTAACATGTGTATATGTATACATATGTATATATATACATATACATGTGTATGTGAATGTCTGTGTGTATGCATGTGTGTGCGTGCTTGCGTGCGTGTGTGCATGTGTGTGTGTGCGTGTGTGTGTTTCAGTGTGTACATATGTTTATGTCTGTATTTGTTTATATTTGTGTGTTTGTGTATGTGTGAAAATGAATGTGTGCGTGTGAGTGTGTGTGGATGTGTGTGTGTGTGGGTGCGTGTGTGGGTGCGGGTGTGGATGCAGGTGCGAGTGTGGGTGGGTGGTTGGGTGCTTTCATGCAGCTATTTGAATTCATGCGTGTGCATGTTTGTACATATGAATGAATAGTTTTATAAGAACAAACAAATACATACAACCTTGCAACATTTCCCATAAATAAGCTCCATACCTGATTTACATGCGGCACAACTGTTGCAGTTTTGAGTAAGTCCTCAAGGTGGCCAACTGTGTAGTTTGAGACTCCAATAGCACGTACTTTTCCACTCTTGTAGATGCTCTCTAAGGCCTTCCAACTCTGCCCTCGCAGATATTGGTTCTGGGCATCCTCTGACTGCAACAGGAAAATGTATTTTTTCTCTCTTTCCTTCTTTCTTTCTTTATTATTTTATTTTCTAATACATATTCTGAGGCTGCAATCAACCTGTTTTTAACTTCTGATAACAAATATGATAAATATCTAAGATATAATAAATGTCATACGGTCACTAACCTTTAGTTTCTGCACTCCAGGCCAGTGGATAAGGTAAAGGTCGAGGTAGGTCAGCTGCAGGTTACTTAGACTCCACTCAAATGCTTGTAAGCTTTTTTCAAACCCGTGATCTTGAGGACCTGCCGAAAAAAAGTTTACTCAAGTAGACATCCCATTATTTCCTACAACATTTACCCCATGATGCTGGAAAAAGTGCTCACTGTAATAATGTTTTGTGAAATGTCTCTGCACAGAGATGGGTCCACAAGTGATAGCCATATAGGAGTCAATTTGTAGACCTTATGACCTCAACTGATTTGACCTTTCCTTGAGTTTGCGGGAAAAATGTTTTTTCAAATTAATGCTATCAATATTGATGCTGTTTTTACTGTTATAAACATTATAAGTATTATAATGTTATTGACATTACTAAAAACAATAACAGATAAAAAAGGGTAAACTGGTGAGATAGGTAGTATTCATAATTGGCTTATTGTTGATTTAGTACTGCCATAGCCATCTATGTGTAAAGACAATCAATAAACTAAAATCACAGTGGTCATGACATGTACATACATACAATCCCCAGTGGCACTGGGTTAAATCATACATACAATTATTAAAGGACTTATGACATATATTAAAGAGCTAAATCTCAATTAATCTCAACTACATTTTCACAGGAAACATATTCATAAAAACTAAAAATTATGATGCATTTCATGATTCCACTTAAAATTAAAATGGCCTTATGGTCTCCCCGTATACTAAAGCATCTGTCCTTCATAAACAGCAAAGTCCTTAAAATATGAAGTATCTGAGACAAATATAAAAAAAAAAAAATATACTGAAGATAATGAACCAAACTTTGTTCCACCAAAAAACAGAATGGCAATACCAGTGTTGTCAACATTCTGTGTATGATTTGTGTGATGATTTCCTTACAAGTGTGACTTGGTTAACCATGATCTCAAGATGTGTGTATGTAAGTATGTATGTAAGTATGTATGTATGTATGTATGAATGTATGTATGTGTATATGTATATACCAAAAGCTTATCCTAAACCTTCAAATGTGATGAAGAAAAAGCAGGAAAACCATCCTCAGATTTTATTAGTAATACTAGTACACTCATTCCTGAATTACTCAAACTTAGTTTAGAACCTGAAAATATAAACTGCCATAGCTCATAAGCTGTCTACCAAATCATGGCAAATCATGCCTGAGACAGAAGGTATTACAAAACGGCTCAATGGAAGTAAAGTACTTCTGCAATGATTATAAAACATTGTTGTCAATAGTAATGAACTTAATTTAGTGCAGTGTTCATTATTCCTGTAATCATGTAGAACCTTCACAATCAAAATTGAATAACTACTTTTCATTCACTATTTTGTGCCACTTCTGCAAATGTCATGTGTAATAGAGAGCAGGTATTGTTGTCTAGAAGCTTGTTAGCTATCCTTTATTTTATCCTCTTAAAATCAATCCTCTGTATAATTACTATAACAGAGATCACATTCAAGAGTCTTTATAGATCCAAGAATACTGACAATCGCTATAGAATATATAATGAAGAGGTGCTTTGTATCTATCCTTTACTTTGGTCTGTTGACAATTCATCCCCAATTAAAATAAACATAAAAGTTCTTTGAGCTTTTACATATCCTAGAATACTGGAATTTATTAAAAAAGTTACCATTTTCCTGATCTTATATAAGAAAATGTCATAGCAACAGAACAAAACAAAAATTCATCTTTCAGTTCTAATTTCTGATTACAATTTACAACAGTACACATATTCTAGGTACTCACATACAAAGGCCATACAAATAGCTATTAATAAGTTATAGAATAAAACTATAAGTGAAAATCATTCGTGCAAAAAGACTTAAATATTCAATCATATTGGCTGTGAATGCACAATTCATATAACAGACCTGAAGGTGAAATGCACGAGGATTTCAAAACTGTGGTATCATTTTCAATAAATCTAGTTTGTGCATTGTGGGATTTTTTACCATAGTATCAGTACAGTAGCATTTTACCATTCAAATACAACAATGCAATTACTTGAACTTATTTCATGCATAAATTCTACATTAAGAGTAACAAATGAGGCAAATAAATTACAAAAATATTATTTGTATTATAAATATAGATATATCTTTCAACCTGTTTCATATACCCAATATAAATATCATCTTTATAATGTTTTCTTAATATTGTCTTTCTTTTGAACATTAATAGAGAAAAGGAGAGAGGAAAGAAGAGGAATAGGAGGGAGGGAGGAGAAAGAGGAGGAGGAGGAGGAGGAGGATTGCAAGGATTACAAAGAAGAAGAGGAGGATTGTGAGGAGGAGGAGAGAAAAAAGATGAAGAGAAAAAAAAGGGAAAAAGACTACAAAGCCAGATATAAATACTATGATATCACTCTTGAATTGCACTATTCTGCACAACAACTCCTACACATCTTTAGATATGAACAAGAATAAGCTACCCTACATTACACAACCACACACTAAGCAAACAGTTAACAATCTGCTAAGATATTACACAATGTGGGCTAAAGCTGCCTCAGCTAGAGGTTGACCTGTCCTAAATCATTTTCCCGACTCTCCGAGCCATCCCCTAAATCTAAAGACCTAATTCCCTCTGCTCTACTTGGTTTGAGCAATTTATACAGCAGAAGAAGACAGTATTGCAAACAATTCATAATTCTTATATGTAGTCACATACAAAATTAAGAGCAAGGTGATTTTATATCTTTAAACTTCTATTAAGGAATTCCACTTTCAATATCAGGTTAAAAAAATTAATAAAAGTTATTAAAATCAAGGTTTGTTGAAAATGGAACAGTAGAAAAATTATTATGAAGAAAATATGGAACTTTTCTAAATGACTGGTACATTATGGCACATAGAACAGAAATTACAGGAGTGTAAAGCCCTGTTGACTAAATGACCCAGATTATCATTATTACAAATACCAAAATAAAAGAGAAATGGTAACAAAAGACCATTTTAAACTGAAAATCACAAAAACATTTATCTGTGATCACTCTGCTAATCATTTTGCTATACTTGTTTTCATTATATTACCATAGACTTATTCTGATTAATCAAAATCAACAAAAATAATAGAGTATATCACTCTATGCATTATCCTTCAGAGTTGCACGATACTTCTCAATGAGTGCTTTTCTCTCTCCTGGTTTTGTGCTAAAGTATTCTTTTTGTTGTTCCGAGTATCTCTCTTTCACTGTGATGATGTCTCTAAAAGTCCAGTCTTGCCAGTGGTCATTGTAGCGCTTCAGCAGTTCAACCAACTCTTTGTCACTATGCAGGATGTCTCTGGTAAATGGAGATCAAGAAAGAAATTAATGAAAAAGGAATTGCATAACACCACATCTATGATAGTATTTTCAAATACATCCTTTTTTCAAATAAATCTAATGGGCATGGAAGTAATACTTCAGTATCTTTTCTAAGAACCTCATTTAGACTCTTTTGGACTTGATAAATCCATCTTTATTCCCTTTTCTTCAGAAAAAAAAAAAAAAAAAAAACACTGGAGAACCAGTAAAAATAAATAACAGGATTCTTTAAGGGCTGTGCAAAAATCTAAGATAGCTGTTACTAAGGTTAAAAGTCAATATCATAAAAAATCAATATCATGGATAATCAAAACACTAAATATAAAATCAGTAACATGAATGATACATCTGCATAAATCTTCCAGCAAAACAATTCTTATAAACACTTAAAATCACTACCTGCTAAGTCTGCAGAAATATCATCCATGATTTGATACAGAAAATTAAGAACAGACTACTCACTTGGGCTGTTGTGGCTTCAGCTCAGGACAAACAAACTGTGGAAATATGACCACACTGCGCAGCGCAAACCAACCACCATAACGGGGGTGGAGACACACACCAAACACCTTCTTGCTGGGATCAAATGGATCAGACTTGAGGTCCTTCCGCTGATAATAGTGCACAGCTCCTGACACATGGCCCGCGGTTTGCATAAGGACCTTAGGGCGTCGGTTTGGAGATAGCTCAAAGTCATGCATAATGATGACCTTTTCTGCAGGGAATAATACCTCCTTGATTGTAGAGAAGCAGTGCACCATGCACTGGTCAAGTGGGTCTTGTGAGGACCTCTGACAGTCCAACTCTACCACAAATGGCAAGAAGGCTTTCTCAAACATGCTGGGTGTACTAATCACCACAAACGCCACTGTGTCTTCTTGATAAGGCAAACGAAATGATTCAGCAACTTGATTGTTGTACCAGCCGACCTTAAAGGGATGGAATTCGAATCCACGAGGGACGAGTTCTGATTCTAATTTATGTGACATTTCTGCAAGCTCAACAAGAGAGATATTTCTGATCTCTTTTGTTTCCTCCATGACTGCTTAATTTTACTTTCTTCAGCGTTAGATGAAAATACAATATATATCAGTTTCTTTCATAAATTCTCACCCTTTAATGAATCTGAAAGGAAGGTAGAAATCCATGTAGTTGTAATGGAGCAATGAATCACCCTTACATGAAACTCCTTTTTGTTTATATAAGTAATGCACAATAGACCATAGGATAAAAATACAAACTTCTTCTAGTAAACATATTTATGTTTTTTTTTTTTTTTTTTTTTTTTTTTTTTTTTGAAAAGAAATAAAACAGCAATTTGAAAGATGTCCATCATGCACATTACTTACACCACAACGACAATCTTCCCAAAAAATGTTAAAATCAAACATTCTGTAATGGCGAATGGGAAAGACAGCACACACATCAAATAATGTATGGGCATGTATCACATCTTCACATGATCAAATCTATTCACTTCTTTAAGCATCTAAATAAATCATCTACAAAAGAGTCAGCCATGCATTGAAGTTGAATTGACAAAAATAATACTAATAATAAGATAAAATAAAGAACACACATTGTTTTGCAATTCTTTCCAAAAAGAAGTATGTTGACATCAAGTTTCATCTTTACACTCTTCCACATTTCACACATACAGAAGACCATAGGAAGCAATCTAAATCACTTTTACTTCTTTCAATTTCTGCTTGTATATAATTACAAAAATAAATCAATTAATCAATGTGTTTTCCAGCCTAAAAGATTTTCTCTCTTCTGGGAAAAAGTAGACTACTTAAAAATCACCCTGTGCCCAATGGACCATTATTGATAACCAATCAGAGACACCACCAGGGGAGAGATCTTACAACTAGAGGATAGAATGAACCTCTGTGAGCTGTAGTCCAACCAACATATATTCAATCAGTGTTGTTAAGGGAACCATCTTGGGAAATGCCTACTTTTCTCTACTCATTTCATCGTAAAAAAAAATATTGGTTGGGGATAAGTCATTGATTGTTTTTGCTGCATTGTATAGAGTATGTAATTGCGTTTTGTCTCGTATATAATTTTAAACTCATTCCCTATTAGGGGGAGGGGCGCCCTCCAAAAAGCCCCCCCCCCAAAAAAAAAATCTATTTTTTTGTACTTGGTTAGGAACACTCAACTTTCATAATTTTTATGTGATTGAAACACACTTTGTTGCTTTTGCTAGAGCATCATAACCCTGAGACCACATAAATAGCTAATTTTTTATTTTCCTTTTTTGGGGGGCAGGGGACTTGTTGATAAAGAGTACTATTTTTGGTCTTTTTTTTAAACTTTACATGATCTATATTTTTTATTCATCTCAAAATTCAAAAATCAGCTATTTATATGGCCTCAGGGTTTGGATGCTCTAGTGAAAAAAACAAACTGCGTCTGAATTGCACAAAAATTACGAAAGTTAGGTGTTCCTAACACTGTGTAAACACAGAACAAAGATATGGCATTCTATATTCTGGACATTTGCCAAAGTTCGTTATCTCTGTTATTTTTCACCAAATCTAATACAGATATATATCAATAAAAAGCTTAATTAGTGTACCTTGATTACCAAGTCAATCAGAATCATCATTCTCAGTAGGAACGCTATTCTGTAAAGGTATGTCTTGTCGATTTCTGTTTGTTGTATATAAAAGTAGATATTTCTGTCTGAAACGTTTAATAAATGCATTGAACCATAGAGACAACTAATCTAAACCAAATATAAAGTCCTAGAATGAATACAACATGGCAGTTCAATTTTGAGAATTTTAAAAGCATATGTATTTAATACATGGATTCAAGATTTACCAAAGTAGTTGAATTTTTCCCAAAACACACGCACATAAAGTTTTAAATTTAATCATCCTCATTTAGTAAGCCTACATCGACTTTCATATGTAAAGGAATAAAATATATTAGTTATCCCTATCAAACCATTTTTACCGTTTGCAAGGAGAAATGAGTGTAGAATTCTTGTTTTGTCATTTGCAACCGAAAGGCCCCACCACATTTTATAGCACTTTCGGTACCAGTATACAGGTTTGCTATTAATCCATATCATAAGATGTTATAATCACTATTTTTTCATGTAAAAGACTATCAAATCATTTGGGAATTTCTTTTTGAGGTCAATTTATTCATTCAAAAAATTCAAGTAGTTCTTCTAGGTCAATATACAAAGTACTGGAAAGAAAAGTTGAAATGCAACTGTAAACAAATATGGAATGTTAAATATCTACATAAATATGCTTATTTCTCTGATGTTGAAAAAAATTCCCACTTGTCTATAATAGCTGTAATAGTATATTTCATCCCCATCATCTTTTCCCCACTGATAAGAGGTGTAACCAAGCCATATAAAATTATAAAACAAAGGGGATATTATCAACAAATCCATTGATTTAATAAAACAATTTGTTTAACATAATAAATACACCAGTCTCTTTGGATTCCATGTCTTTATTGGGAATAATATAAATATTCCACTTAATATACTGAGAAAAATAACACTAAACCAGAAAGCCCCCCAAAAGAAAATCATAGTATATTAGGAAGAGAAGAATCTGAGAAAGCACTGGCAGGAAAACAATCATACTGCTGAGAAAAATAACAAAGAGGCGGAAGCTTAAATTTTCCATGCATTCAATGCTCTTCACTGCTGAATACAAAACTGATTGGGCAATGAGATTAAAGAGATACTTTAAGCCTACTTTAAGGAATTGTTTCTCTTCAACAACTGCACCTACAGCCAAACAAGCAATCAACTGCTTAGCAAGCACAACTTAGAGCAGGGAAGACTATGCACAACATGATGGGACCTCATCCCAACCAAAGGGGTGGTCGACCATTAGGTAATAGGAAGGCAACCATCATAAGTGGATTATGGTCCTTGAAAATACAAGACAGCAAATTTCCCAGTCAATACATCTATCCTTGATAACTCAATAAAATGTCACCATACCTTTATTGGATAAACATTAGACTACTTTGTTTTGGTAACAAATAAAAAAAAGGTAAAAACAGTTCACATACTAACACATAGTATCATAATATTGAATTGTGTTTATTCAATTACTTATTCACATAATAATAGTCTATACCTTGAGAAAGTATGAAAATCATCATGCAACATGTATAATGAATATCAATGCAGAAATATAATTTACTCACTCAGTTTTGAAGTAATAAAAATATCCTTTCTTTCCAGGCCAAATTCAGGTAAAAGCTGCTTGAGGGAGTCACCTATTTCAGTTTCATTCCGGTACACTGCCGCTGTATCTGAGAAGTACACAGAACTTCAAATTTCTCGATGAGCAGAAATACAGACAATAAGATTTAACATTTTCTACAGGAAAAAGGGAATAGACTTAAAATGTAATACGTTTCACTCACATCTCATTTTACTGTTTTTGTTTTGCCTATTTCTTTTAGAACAATAAAAATCTTATTGCTTATGTTATTCTATTACTTCTATACAACTGACAATCAAGAGCTTTCCAGCATAAATTTCCATAGGTGCAGCACAGACCTACTACTAATGATCAGTGATGCTGCCTGCCACTGTTTTCAAGTCTTTTCACAGACTAATGAATGGATAAATATTGATGCTCCTACTCCTGTGAGGATAATTCCATGCTCAAGTTCCTATTTCAGCAAACCGTGACCAATGGCACAGTTTGTACTACAGAAAATTTAATATAAAAAAAAAAAAAAAAAAAAAAAAAAAAAAAAAAAAGACACAAATAAAAATTCTATTAATTATAATTATCATTCCACTGCCTAGGGAAATGATATGAAGCCTGTTTAAGGAAAACTGTCTATTACTATCTGGATACAGCATATCAAATGACAAATGTAAACTTTAGAAAATGGGGGGGGAAAAGATGATTATACAGAAAAAGAGACAATAAAAGGCAAAGAGTTTTGACACCTCCCATGAAAGTTTGTGCCTGCAAGCTACAGACCCATAAAAGTGGCCACTTAAGTTAGCCTAATGCCGAGATCTTGAGTCACATGCGGTCAGCAGAGTATCCAGATCCAAGGGGTTAACAATTCTCTCAGTTTTCCTGTGCCCTCAGATCCGAAATATTCCAAATGATTTATTCTATACCATAACTTCCTCACTGATACTAATAAAAATAAAATTAAAAGAAACTTCAAGAAAACCATGCTCTCAGTAACACACAGCAAAGAATATGGGAAAAGTTATACTGTTCTCTGGAATTCAGACATGCCCAATAATTTTTCTGAGATTTCTGTCAGTCAGTTGAGGAATTTATCAAATAAGTGACAGAAAGATCAAACAGGCGCATACCAAAAGCTCTGTATCCTGCTTGCAGTGCTGCCTTTATCACAGAATAGATTAGGCTTTTCCCACGTGTCTTGTACGTCCCAACTGTAAAAAAAAAGAGAAGAAAATCAAATAAATAAGTAAGTAATGAAATCACAGCTCTTCCAAAGATTTTCACAGCCTATGCAATGCTGAATTACTCTTTGCCAGACTAAATTCAACAACATAAAGTATACATACCACATGGAAAGCTGTTACACATAGCATGGATGTTAATAATATGTCAAATCAAACTTTACTTTGGAATATAAGCATCACAAGTAAAAATTCCTTCAGATATACCTTGGAATATTTATCTGGAATCCAACCTGAAGGATTTCTCCATTAATCAGACTGTTTACATACATTTGCTTTGTAAGTATGGAAGTTTTTGATATCTCAAAAGTCTGGATTACTTAGAATTTGAAAATTTATATACACAGACTAATCAATGCACATATATGCACAGTAGTATATTAGCAAACTATCACATGTATAAGATAAACTGGGGTGACTTTAGATACTGTTTGAATATTCATGTACTAAACATGCTAAATCTTAAAAGTATCAAAGGAAGTGCTATGTTGACTAATATTCTGTGACACATCAACAAAATAGATACACACTGATAATTAAAATCTAAAATCACACTACCTAGAATCCTACTGCCTATTCTAGAATAAACTGAATGCTTTTATCTGAACAGGAACAACATTTCCATTTTATTGGCAAAACACGACTCTTATTTCATTCTACAATTATAAAACTTACGTCCAACCAGTGGCATACAAACACCACTAGCAAGGGTTGTTACCTGCTGCATAACAATCTGAAAAGTAAGAAAACAAATAAAACCAAGAAATCATATGCCGGTGCAGGTCATATTCACAAGGATAAGTAACTAATGTTATTATTAGGTTATGCTTTTTTTATGTTATAATTAGGTTATGCTTTTTGCGACTTCTCCACTGGATTAGATATCTTATTCATCATAGGTCAGTTCTCTCTTGACACGACAAAACATACTAATAATTTGTTTTCTTGTAAAGCACAAGCTCCTAAACGAGTTTTCTTGTTCCATCAGGGAAACAAGTATAATCTTTTCATGATAATGCTTCCCCTCTTTTTAATTTCTTTTATAAACCAAATAAACTTTTGTTACGTATAAAATTAATCAAAAAATTTTTTTTTGAAGGATCCTCAAAAAAGGGTCTTCATATTTTTTTCATTTTTTCTTTTGGTGCACAGGAGCAAGGAAGTAAATGACAAATCAAGTAGTTGAGAAGGCAAATAATAAATTAACCCATTAATGCCTGGTTAAAACTTTGGCTAGTTGCCATTAACGCAGCACTGTACCGAGGTCCTTTGGTGGTTTGCAGGGAACATTAGGCACCTAAAAGCTTTATGTTGTAATGTCTTTTTTTTATTATTATTTTATGTGAAGCTTTATCTTCACAGGCACTATTGCCTAAATGTTTCACCACAGAAATAATGCTGCTACTATTGGAGAAAAACAAGCTCCGTTTGATGAGCCAACAACGCAAGAATGGTCGTTATGTGATGCCATAAGCTACATGATCCACAACAGCCATGGCATATGCGTACATATGCCATGGCTGTAACTTTGGAGCGATATCTTGGTGGCTGAGGGGAGCCAGTGATACTACCTAAAGCGTGTTTTTTTTCTCGGGTATCTCCGGCCTTTCCAGGGTGTAATTAAAAACTGTAATTCGCTTTAAGAAATTATCAATATGTATAAAGTCAAACATTATATCAGAGATTTAATGTAAAACAGAGTTAATTATACCAAAAGCAAAACAAGAAACGGCTAATTTGAAACAGGATTTATACTTGCATCGACGGCCCATCAGACTAGCATTAATAAATTTGAATCCATAAATTGGTTTCTGTGCTTCTTTCTTTTAATAAATATACACCAAGAGGAGCAAAACCATGGTGAAAAGGAATATGTCCTTGTGCTCCATGTTGCTCAAACGAGAAGTACTATGCCCTGTGTTATTTAAGCAAGAGGCATGTGAGGTCTATTACAGCGGTGCTTTTCGCAATTGAAACACTACAGCTGGCTGCCCACTAACACAAGTCCAAGTTAAGGCCAGTTGACCCACACCTGTAGTCCACTGAGCCATTGAACACACAAAATGCCAGATGTAAAAATCACGGAGACAAATATCATTCCCTTTTTGGGCAATTCATGTTCATATGACGAAAAAATCCTAATGCTGATGCATGTTATAGAATACAAAGAATTCCCAAATAAGGAAGAAGTATCAACTTGTTTTAAATCATACAGCGGTTAATGCAAGGTGCATAAGATAAGTTTTCTGATCGTTGGTGTTTGTTTTGCCGATGAAACAAATATTAATATTATCATCTCACTGCTATGGTTGTTTTGAAATACAGCCAAAATATCTTCGAACTTGTACCTCGTTCGCATTTCGCATAACTACACGAAACACTGAAATATTGAAAGTCCGCCTATCGTTTCAAATCATTCCCACCTTCAAATACTCCTACTTCCAACATAAAACAGTTAAATAGTGTCCCATCACAGGCCATGGACCTAGATCCCGCCGCGCAGAGAAACGTTACCTCGCGTGGTCGTCGATCAGCTGTGCGGTGAGTGCCCAGCTGATGCCTCAGTCGGGCCCGAGCGGCGGGGTTCCTCTGGCCTCCACGCTATGCAATGCAATAATATGGAGTTAAGTGGAGATATCGAAGGGGGAGAGTGAGAAGATGACGTAAAGAGAGAAATGGAAAGAAAGTGAGATATTAAAAGAAGGGAGGGTCAGACAGGCGCCTTATCTATACCC